GCTATTGTTTGCACATGGAATTATTCACTGGTAATTAATCTTCGATTTGGCTGTGGAAAATGTCACTCGGTGGTTTGCATTAAGAAATTATGCCCACTTTTCTGAGAAAAATCACTTTTTCTTTACGAAAAAATATTTATTTTAACTTCAAAATAATATCATTCAAATGTCATCCTTTTCACCTTAATTTGGTGTGAACATCATTGAATAAAAGGAAGGGCAATAGGAAATACGAAAGATATGCGGCGAAAAAAACAATGTCATCTGCTAAACGTTGTTGTCATCACTTGGGTCATGGGGTGTTAAAAACAAAACAAAACACATCAAGCCATTGTTCAAACATAGGTTATATCAAGCCCTACTAATGTTGACCTTTTTTTTTTTTTTTTCACTCTTTGCTCTTATCTGGGAGTGGTAGGTTTTATTATAAGCTGACGACAACTTGTTATAAACGCTTATTGCCGGCTGGCTGACCTTTGGCCCAGAGATGTCAATATCAATTTGGCTTAATTTTCCTTATCGCAGCTATTTTTTGGAAAAAAAAAAAAAAAAAAAAATTTTGGTTTCTGGTGGTCAGTAATTGCAGATAAATCTTTTGCCTTTTACTAAAGATTTCCATAGTCGGGTGTCAGTTTTTTTTTTTTAAACTGCTGGCAGTCATATAATTGAAAATTATCAGTGGATTTTGTCACATTTTGACCCCCCCACCCCCAGGAATGTTGATCTCCTTTAAAACTCTCAATTTTATGCCTGAAATGGTTTGATTATGATTTAGGCTTTCTGATTTTCAAAAAAAAAAAAAAAAAAAAAATTAATTTCCCATTAATGGGAAGATTTTTGTTTAGAACTAGAAAAAATGCAAAATCTTCACTATTTTTTACACATTTTACACCCCGTAAAAAAAAAAAAAAAAAAAAAAAAAAAAAAAAGTCATTTACACCAGCCAATTTTATTTTTAAATGAAAGAATATATCCTTTGCTTTCAGAAAACACCTAGTTTCATGGGGTTCAGATCAAAAGTTTCCTTGATATTTGTTTAGATGATGATAAAACAGTCATTTTACCCCTATAAAAGTATGAAAATTCATTTTTTCAGAGAAAATAAGCTGTGACAAAATGACTTTTGCCATTTCTGTCATGTTTTTTTTACTTGGGATAGAAAATTTTTACCAAAGCAAACCTGAATTGACTTTATTTAAGTTCAGTAGGGCTATAGGAAACCTCAAACAGCTGTGATGGGGATGAGTTTAGTTAGACCATGGCAAAACACAACAGTGCCCTTAAAAGACAATCCACATCCACAGAAATTTTTACCTTCAACTTTAAATTTAAAAAAAAAAAAATGTTATGTTATTCTTAAGAAGGTGACCTGCAGGGATTTTCCAAGAAAAAAAAAACAAAAAAAAACTGACTCAAGCCCTATACATATATATATTCAAAGAAAAGAGGTAAATGATAGGAATTTCAACAAATGTTACAAGTTTATTTCAATTTTCAATCCTCCAATATTTATGTCAACCAGAAATTAAATGAACATCATATGTATACAATACACACACATATACATAGTAATAATACATTTCATTTTAAAACAGCAATACCTAAATAGACTGATCTCAAAAAGGAAAGAAAACATGTATGCCAATAAGTCAAGGATCAGTTTGACATTGTATTTATTTTGTAAACAGTATCCCCTATTTAAAATAATAGAAAATGTTTTTCGATTCTAACAAAATGGCTGAGTGGAGGAATTTCTGAATGCTAGGAAACAAAAATTAGTTGCATATTTTTATCTAAGAAATTACTATCTAATATTCATGTTAGAAAATAAAGGATCGTTTTGATATTTACTGTACATATTTCTTTTGTTTCAATAGTTATTTTGATTATATGCTGAAAAAGCTTTATATTTTTATACAGTAATATAACAAACTCATTCTTCCCACAACATATTCTAAGCTAATAATGTTGTAATGTTTGACTTCTTTTTTAAAAATGTTCCACTGCAATGTATCATTGATAATAATTCTAGCTATCATAATCTGTGCTATTTGTCAATAAAAGATTTTAAATTAACATTACTTTTTACAAATAAAAAAAACCTAAATTTTGCAAATTCTAAAAAATTGCTGGGATGCCCTCATTTTTAAGGAGTCCAACAAGGCAATTTTTTGCCTACCCCAACTTAGGCTAAATTCATCAAAATATATATATATATATATATATATATATATATATAAAAAGGCAGAGGGAGAGATTTGGCTTTGAATGACTGTTTGTTCTTTGTAGCCGTTGGTTAAGGTGTGCTGGGCTTATTGGCAGTGCCCTCTACCTTGAAGGATGCAGGTTCAAATCATGCCAGAAAGTAAAAATTTTTCTTTAATAAGATTTCTCAAACATTCATATATATATATATATATATATATATATATATATATATCTATATATATATATATCTCTGCACACAGCAAAAAAAATAAATAAATAATAATTGCATATTTTAGATTAACTCTAATTTTCTGATAATTTTCTACAATTCCTGTTTGAATTTCTTGCACAAGGAGTTAATATTTAGTCAAACTCTTGTCTGCATCTTTGTTGTTATCACATTTTGGCCATTGCACCCTCCACTCTTCATCATGTGTTTGTCAATCCAAGTAACCTTCATGGAATTTCAAACTGAACTTATTTAATTTACTGGGGTAAATTGTTCTTGGGAGGGATGAACAGAAGTGACAAGGGCTTTTCTTAATTTTTCACACCAAGACAACAAAGCCATTAAAACATAGGAGGTTACTGAGTGTGAGAATATATGAGAAAAAAAAACATTATGGAAAGAGAGCAATAAAAGAACAGGAATTAAGTAGAATCAAGATGAAGAGTGATATTGCATTTAAATTTTTGAAGATCAAGGTTGATTTTACTCAGATTGAAATAAATCTGCAGATAGAGAGGGCCCTGCAAGATTTTATAAATGGCCTAACAGTAAAAAAAGCAATTTACTCGAAAAATATCAACAACTTTTTCTGCTTTTGGATTTACAAGTTTGTGTATGAATTTGGGAAGTTCTCCTTAATTGTTGAAGGAGAAAAAAGTTTGTTTGAAAAGCATCTATAATTATTGCAATATGAATGGAATAAAACTAAAAGCAATGGCACAAAGAAAATAATTCTCCTAAACAAATTTGCAAGAATCCAAAAATAAATTTTACTTTATTCCTTAGAAATAGTCTGGTACTATAACTGAAGAACTGATATGAACTAAAAAAAAAAAAAAAAAAAAAAAAAAAAATAAAGTATCAGCTCAATTTTTTTTGACTGGTCTATGTTATAGCTTTTTGTCCTTCCCAAATTTGTGCCCTTATCCTTTTCCAAAAATCATTCAATGTGTCTAATATACCGGTATTATAGATAGGATAGTAAAGGCCACTAACTTGAGGTGTATATTGTGAAGATTGTGACGAATGACAATGAGCAATAATGAAAATAATTTACACAGTAACAATTGTCATTACATCTCTAATTTTGTATAGTAGTCTCTTAATATTTACACTTCTAAACACCTAGCTAATAGATCAAACTGTACACCGGAGAACATTTCCGCTGCAAAATGCTTTTACAGAAGACATCAAGGCGTACTTCTGATTTTAACTTGTTACTGAAACACGACTTCTGAGTATCTATATTTCCGGTTGGGCCATTAGACACAAACAATAACGAAACTATTATTTAGTGTTTAATATAAAACTTTTAAAAGTTTTAAGGTTATGCAATTGTCAAAAACAGAAGTTGTTCGTACGCAAAACCCTCTTTAATTTTTTAAGTAAAAAAAAAAAAACAAAAAACTTTTTTAATAGAAAATTATTGTGGCGCTTGCATTATGATCGAAATGGACTAAAAAACTCCCGGATACTGATAGAAGTAGAAAAATATTTTTCTTAGTTGTAAAAAGTGTACTGTAGACTGTAGTGGTGATAAGATGATAAAAGAAAATCTAGCTTGTTATTGATACACTAATTATAAATTTTAATAGCTTTTCTTTTCTATCAGTTATCGATAGAGGACTTTTAAAAATACAAGTCGATGACGGGAGATAACCCGAAGCGAAATAACAATAATTGAAATTGAATTTGTTAGTGACAAATTAAAAAAAAATCCAATTTAAAATAAATAAAAACTATAGTGTAGTGTAAACTTAAAGCAATCTTAAACTTAATTTTCTTTCCTTATCGACGAAAATTATCAAATTAATTGACAATCAGTGCTAAAGAAAATTTAAGAGTCAACTACTTGCATAAGAAAAAATAAAGCAACAAAAATAGTCAAAAATCAAAATAAAACTGAAAGTATTTAAATTGTATACGACGTTAACTTTTTTATTCATTTATTAAAACATGGCATTTAAACAATAATTTATATGCCCGTACATGTGGATTTTTTAGTTACTTGTAGATATTGCTAAAAATAAAAATTAAAAATAAATTCACAAGAGAATAAAAAAATGCTGAAATTGTTTATTACCTGTTGTTACTTGGGAAAATTGTTACCATAAATAAATGAATAAAAAGATAAAATAGAAACTTTTTTTTTTTGTTTAAAGAAAGAGGAAAGCAGTTGTCTTGAAAAAAAATCGTGATCATTTCATTTTTAAACTAAATTCTGTTTTTGTATATTTTAATAATTAAGTCCAATGAAATCCGATGAAGGGAAAGAATTTTTAATAATCAGATGACAATATTCAATAAAACACGCTGCAATCATTGCAAATCATGCTAGTAACAGTTTTATTGTTAATATTTTGATTGCTAAATCACCCACAGAACCTGGAAACAAGTCATTTTCAAATGATGAGACCACGTGTATTTTAAAATAAAGTGTTCAATTACACCATCTTAAAAATGCTCATAGAGATACACTTTAAAAATTCGGGCATCATATATTCGTAGTTAATAAAAATACGCTGACAATTCCAGGACGTGGAATCATACAAATATTTCTTACCTGTGAAATTCTTAAAGCACCGACACCATCCGCCATCATCCATCAGTGACGCTATTTTCCAAGGGAGGAAACTCTATATCGGTGATTTACATAGTCTAGTCCCCTACATTAATTTAGGTAGAGTTTGAATCTTTGGTATTATTATGTAACAAATACAGGTGTCGGCACGATTAAATTGTTTCAACACCCTGCTTCTGCAGTGTTTATTCGATGCGGCATGCTTATTATTTTTCAAATATTTTTTTCCGTGGCACGATTATTTTGTTACATGTTTGTTTATTTTGTTTCTTCTTAATTCCTGTTCTTTTATTGTTCTCTTTCCAAATGATTTTTTCTCATATATTCTCACACTCACTAAGCCCATGTGTCTTCGTGGCTTTATTGCCTTACTTGGAGTGAAATAATTAAAGAAAAGTCTTTGTCACATGTCTTCTGTTCATGCCTCTCAATAACAATCTACCCCTGTAAATTAAATACGTTTAGTTTGAAATTATATGAAGGTTACTTGGATTGACAAACACATGATGAAGAGTGGAGGGTGCAATGGCCAAAATGTGATAACAACAAAGATGCAGACAAGAGTTTGACTAAATATTAACTCCTTGTGCAAGAAATTCAAACAGGAATTATAGAAAATTATCAGAAAATTAAGGTTAATCTAAAATATGCAATTATTATTTATTTTATTTTTTTTGCTGTGTGTGATATATATATATATTTTGTTAAACAGTATATTTATTTATATGAATGTTTGAGAAATCTTATTAAAGAAAAAACTTGTGGTTTCCTGCAGGATTTGAACCTGCATCCTTCAGGGCAAGGGGCACACCTTAATGAACTTGGCCACAAAGAACAAACAGTCAGGCAAAAGCCAAATTTTCACCTTCAAACAAAATTTCTCTTGTCATAGAATCTCCCCTCTGCCCTGATACATATATATATATATATGTGTATATATATATATATATATATATATATATATATATATATATATATATATATATATATATATATATATATATATTGATGAATTTAGCCTAAGTTGAGGTAGGCAAAATTGCCTTGTTGGACTCCTTAAAAATGAGTGCATCCCAGCAATTTTTTAGAATTTGCAAAAAGGTTTTTTTATTTGTAAAAAGTAATATTAATTTGAAATCTTTTATTGACAAATAGCACAGATTATGATAGCTAGAATTATTATCAATGATGCATTGCAGTGGAACATTTTTAAAAAAGAAATCAAACATTACAACATTATTAGCTTAGAATATGTTGTGGGAAGAATGAGTTTGTTATATTACTGTATAAAAATATAAAGCTTTTTCAGCATATAATCAAAATAACTATTGAAACAAAAGAAATATGTACAGTAAATATCAAAACGATCCTTTATTTTCTAACATGAATATTAGATAGTAATTTCTTAGATAAAAATATGCAACTAATTTTTGTTTCCTAGCATTCAGAAATTCCTCCACTCAGCCATTTTGTTAGAATCGAAAAACATTTTCTATTATTTTAAATAGGGGATACTGTTTACAAAATAAATACAATGTCAAACTGATCCCTGACTTTTTGGCATACATGTTTTTTTTTTTTCTTTTTGAGGGGATCAGTCTATTTAGGTGTTACTGTTTTAAAATGAAATGTATTATTACTATGTAAATGTGTGTGTCCGGTAGACATGAGGATTGAAAATTGAAATAAACTTGGAACATTTGTTGAAATTCCTATCATTTACCGCTTTTCTTTGAATATATATATATATAGGGCTCGAGTTAGTTTTTTTTTTATCTTGGAAAATCCCTGCAGGCCACCTTATTAAGAATAACATAACATTTTTTGTTCTTAATTTAAAAAAAAAAAAGAATGTGGCATTTGGCCATGGTCTAAACTCATCCCTACATATAAATATATATTATATATGTGTGTGTGTCAGTGTGTGTGCATGTGTGTGTGTTAGTGTGTGTGTCAGTATATATAAAATATTTATTAACAATTATAAAAAAGATGTTATAAACCGTTACACAAAATGCAATCACGCTTCAGCACTGTAGGTGCTTCTTCAGATGGTTGTGGTCAACTGTAGAATAAATGATCATTCTATGGTTTTAAAGCAGGAATACCCTCACAGGAATTGCAGGGGGAACTAGATTTCTAACATGCTAGGAAGTGACCTCATTTAACCAATCAGATATCAGACCTATGATGAGTTCAAAGTTAACTTCCATATTGGATTTCTGTTGACTGTACAAGTTATTTAAAATCAAACTTAGATGTTAACAATGTATCAAGTTTATAGTATACTTTGCAACAGCAAAATTGTCCAAATAGTGTAACAGCATGCAATAATTGTCCATCCCACAAAATGTTTAATATCTAAAAAACCACTAAACTAAGTGAGTTTCTTTTCCCTAGGTTTTCAGATAAGATATTTAGCCATCTTGACACCATTTATCATAAGAATCACTGAAAAACTCTTTGAGTTATTCAGCTAGAAAGAGAACAGGTTAAGATCATTGTGTGTCAGCCCCACTATACCTTCCCAACTGAGCAATGGTGAGAGGAAAAAGATCATTCGGGCCTTCAGTAATGGTACCAAAATTCATACTCTGGTTTCCATCTTCAAAGTCCTTTCAAGAACCACCAAGAGAACAATGAATGCATTTAAAAAAGAGGGAACGGTAGAGAAGAAAACTGGATCAGAAGGTCACAATTGCAAGAAAGATCATCATTTAGAGCTAAATAGTGTTATAAACCTCAGAGAATTCCAGTAAGATATCTTTAATCATTTCTAAGATACAACGGTTCAAAGCTTAATCTCACAATCTAATAATTTTGCTGTTGCATGATTTGGACAATTTTGCTCTTACACTTGTTTTATATATATATATATATATATATATATATATATATATATACACTATAAAGTAAACTCCTTTATATGGCACATGTCTTATAATTCAATAGCAATGCTGGTCACCACAATTCATTCAAGCTTAATTTAAGTTTTTAGATTTAATAACATTACAGTTTATCAAAAGTATTTTCATTTTTTTACAGACCTCCACTCTCCAGTCTATTTCATATCAAAAGCTAATCTATGACCATATGATATTATTAATAACACTACAAATTTCTACAAACATAAAACATTAAGCTGAAACTTGTGTCATGTTTGTAAATGGCCTCATCAGATTGAGATATTCATGTAGATGTCATGCATAGTGCTAAACCTGTTCAGAAATATCTAAACTCCCAGCTCTATACAAATGCTTTCTAAGGTCAATGGTTAAAAGTGGCTTTGAGCAAGTGAAGCCTGTGGATCTTGGCAAAGACCATCCTTCTTTTAATATTGTGGACTGGTGCTACAGTATCACAAACAAAGAATTGCACCAAATAGCAGAAACCACATCACTTGATGATTTTTCAATAACAGCAAAAATCAAAATGAATATCACATGTAATTTTGAAGAGAAAATAATGGCATAGTCAAGATGTTGATATTTCACACTACTTTAAATAGAAGGTTAAGAAAGAAATCAATACTGAAAAGAGCTATAACAACTGCTGGACTTGAGAAACTTATTCTGCAGAAAAATTGTTTTAAGAGATAGATGTAATAAATTTCAACTGATAGTAATACTGGCTGTTCGGTCAACAAATACCGAATGTTTCCTTATAAGGAAACAGCTAATACTAACATTACCATTATATCTATCATATTATGATCAATGCTATTTAGCTATATGTTTTCTTTCAGATGTTATAATGGCAGATCCAATTATTGATATTTTGGCAGTTGTTAGACATTATTTTAAACTGGGGTTCAAAACAGTTGAAGCTACTTGAAGAATTTAAGAAAAGAATGAAAATTAAACAATATATATTGCCCAAAACTGTATTTTAAAGATGGTGACCAGTTCTTTGACATCAACCCCAAAAGTAGGTGATACATCATTTAAAAATTATGATGCTTTAAAATGCAAAATTGAGAAGAACCCAACCATCAGCACTTGAAAACTTTCAAATGAGTTCTTCTATGTGCTGGATCCTTTTGGGATGTGGGTGATCATAGCTCTCCATGACTTCCTATCTTTTGTAGCTCTTAGTAAGGTTTGTTGTTTTCATCATCCCTCCCACTCTCTGCTTGTAATGAGTGCAAGTGTGTCCTCAAAGAAGCAAAGATACTGTTTACTGATAGAATGAAACAACATATAGCATCTTGCACATTTGGTTCTAGGGATTATTGGTGGCTCTGCAAGAGTATACTGAACAACAGAAAATCCTCAGTCCCTCTTCTATTCAATCAATTTTAAGTTCTGACATTTACACCGGATAAGGTTGAATGCTTTTCTCAGAAATTCTTTTTCAACTCAACAGTCGACTCATTTGGAGTACCCACACCTGATTTACCCCCTAGAACAGAGGCTCTAATGAGTGATATGCACATAATCCCATCCCTGCTCTCAGACATCATTACTAAATTAGTCTCCCATAAGGTAAACAGAGGTGACAGGATCCCAGCTTTCATCCTAAAGAAATGTGCTCCTGAGCTGGCTCTAGTTCTCTCCAAACTCTAATTATTACCTCACTTCTTCCTGCTTTCCAGCTTGTTGGAAGTCCTCCTCTGTAGTTCCTGTTTTTAAGAACTCTGGAGAACCTTCTGACCCCTATAAGTATTGCCTTATTAGTCTCCTACCACTTTTTGGCAAAGTATTTGCAGCTTTAATCAATGTTGAAGTGGTTAAACATCTTACTTCTCACAACCTACTCTCTGACAAACAATATGGCTTCCATTTCACCAGGTCTACCACTGATGTGCTAACAGCAATCACTGAATATGTTTATCAAGCTCTTGATAATAATGTCAAAGCTCACGGTGTATATATCTCGAAAGCATTTGCCTGAGTTTGGCATGCTGATCTTCTATATAAGCTCCAGGGCTATGGTATTACAGGATGATTGTTTGATTTAATCCAATCATTCCTATCAAATCATGAAATGAAGGTTGTTTTAAACAGGCTCACTTCCAGATC